TTTTTTTTTTTTTAATATATAAAATTAATGAATTTGCTTAGTTTATAGTATTTAAGTAACTAATTAGTTTGTAGTTTTAAAAGAGAACTGATGATTGATGTGTTACATACTAGTATTCCCATGAGCATTGCCCGGGAATTTTTACTTTTGAACTACACACACTTGAGTGGGTGTTTGGGTGTGTATTGTACCAACCGTATATATAGTGTAGGAAGATGCTACGGCCCCGTTACGGAACTATTCCGTCGGGTTTATGACCATTAGATCGTCATGTAACCGTCGTAAATAATTGATTTAACGATTACAAATTCTGACTGAATGATTCCATGTTAATGGGACCGTAACATCTCCGTGTAGTGTAAGCATGGAACTTTTAAATGGAAGCCCCACAAAAATGGGACTAGAATCTATAGTGAGAACATTGCGATATTAGCCCCCACTACCATAAAAATGAAAAAAAAAAGAAGAAAATAAAATATATATGTATATATATATATATATATTTCATTGGAAAAATCAATGGTAAAATATTTTAGTAAAATTTGATACTCAAATGGTACAACTTTCCTTAATAAATTCCAACTGAAATTCATACAAAAATAATATTATATTGAAATGAGTTTTTATTTGAAATTTGATGATTTCAATAACCATTTTTACAACAATTTATTTGCGTAGGAATTTTGTTGGAATGTGCAATTTTCATAAAAAAAAATTATTTTCAAATCATATTTCAACCATCGAAAATTTTACCGGTGAAATTGCATCCAACAAAATATTCTAGTTCAAATTTCCGTTCGAATTCGTTAAAAAAAATTTCAACTGAGATAGTAGCATTAAACTTAGCTCCCATTCGAAACGCTGAAATTTTCCTTTGAAATTTTATGCTTTTCTTGTAGTACACGTTGGGCATAGGAAATTTTATTAAGCAATCGAAGATAATTAATAGTAGTGAATGTGTTTGATATGCAGAGTTTCATCATCTACATGCTTTGTAGGTAGAAAGAGACATATAAGATGTATATAGGGACCACATTATAATTAAAAAAAACAGTATGTTATTAGAACACTTGATGATCCCGATTTATTACTAGAAAAGTTTTTTTTTTTTGGTCAACTGGGTAGTATCTCCACATTCAATTCGAGGTCTCACCACGAACTCCCAAGCCACTCGCCGAGCCCTACCCAGGGATGTGGGCCTATCACAGGTTCGTGGCTCTAACAGGCTACGGGATCCACGCCCAGAGGGCAGGACTAATCCACCCAAGAAATGTAACATATAAATTGCATTCATAGTACACACTTAGTTTTGGATTAAAAAATCTTCGTGTTATAGGTTGGTTGCCTAATTGTTATAACTGTGATTTTTTTTTAAATAAAAATACATACTTATAATATAAAATATTATATTTTTATTCATATATTGTATTTTAAAATATGAAATTTATATATGAAATGATGTATATTTGTTGCCAGAGTTTAGTTGTTGGTTCTCTAACTATTAGACGAGGCCGAAGAAAAACCCCATCATTTTGGCAAACCCAAATAAAGTTTCATTCTAAAACCTATTAGCAATAGAATGTGTAGTCCATCTACCAAACTTATATATTGGATTTGAAATCTTTAATTTTCCGTTGTGAGATTGAGTTTGCACACCCTACAAACCTCCTCTCAAACACAAGACCACATTGGGTCTCCCCTTGAACGAAAGAAATCATACAATCCGACTATTTTGTACCGTCGTTATCACACACGGTACCTGCCGTCTAACCACCCTTTCGCCAGGAAGACTTTCGACACAAGGCACCCGGTCCACCAGTCATCCACCGGTTCACACGGGGACCATGTCACGTCATCCAAATCGCAACTAGACCACCAACTGTGGCTCTGATATCCGACAACTCAAAACTCGATCAGTTCTCCATCAAACCCAACATACAAGGTAATTGCGAGTTGACATGTTCCTCTAAAACGAAGCAAAGTATATATTATTATATAAATTAATTTACATCCGATTTGTATTGCACTAAAGCAATAAGAATGTACACAAAAGTCCAACTATCAAAAGTACATAATTTAAGTGTCTGGAAATATAAATAGATTCTCTTTCGGCAGTTCCAAAGTTTGAAAATCGCAGAAAGTAAAACGATGAGCTCAAAAGTCCAAAAGCTCCTATAATATACGATACGAGTGTATTATAAATTAAATTATATATATGTTGAAGAATAAAAGGTTAAAAAGGTATTTAAAGTTGGCATGTAAATGTGAAAATAAGAAACCTATATCATACGGTCTTAGAATTAGGCTATTTTATGTCTCAATTTGCAGACCAAACAATTTATAGGTGTGATCGATATTGACCTCTTTTTTTTTTT